CGAAAGAGAAGGATCGGCACTCACCACCTATATGTCGACTTTAAAGCCGCTTTCGACAGCACCAAAAGGAGTCTCCTATATACCCTCAAAACTCATACGGCTGTGAAAAATGACGTTGCGCCACCACCAGCTCTGCTCTGTTGGGCCCTCAGCCCGCTCATTGGGTTTTTCAAAATATAAACTTCTTAATTTGGCACTCGCTTACCCGTTCGTGCTGAACGCCGGTTCCGGTAACTTTCCTGGTCACAATTCCTGCTTTACAATAGGTGTTCCTTCAGGGGCTGCTCCCACCCTGGGAAAAGTAGCGCTCAAGTTGCTCGGTACTCGGCCGACCCAATAAAAGTTTTGCCAATAACACGCACGAAAACTACTAGCGAATGAATTAAAACGTCTTCCTTTTGTTGAAATTAACTTAGTTCGTTTTATTTAGTTTTAATATAAAATTTGGTACAACCGGCTTGAAAGAGTGAGTATATCCAATTGAATTGATATTCGTTTTTTCACTCGGGTTTATCTACATGTGGAACGTATGTTCCAAACAGGGCTACCAACATTACGGCGGCGCTGAATAGTGCCATATCAATTTTCGGCTGTAATAAAGAGTTCAAAACTTATGTTGACTAACGCATGCTGAATAATTGACAACATTATTATATATACTTAGCTAATTGCGTTAATTTACAACATGAATTTTTAATTAAAGAATATACATAAGTATGATTTAAATAAATGTTTTTTTTTTGATGTGCTAATTGTATACAATATATGAATTTGTAAATTTGTAAATATGGATTTACATAACCATTTGTATAAAAATTAATACATACTCATTTTTTTTTGCTTAATTTGATTTTTTTTTTTTTTGACTATTGTGTTAAAGTAATAATATATAAAAATACTTATGTGTACGTCTTATTAAGCCAAAATTTTAAGGTATACATACATTTAAATATCTGTTTTCGTATGGAAAAGTAGCTTATGTCGAAAGGCTGGCTTTAGTATAAATCGGCATTCGCAGCATACGATTGCGAATGTCTCACTGGCGCTGAGCTGTTGAAGAATTTTCAGCAAATAAACGTGCAAAAAATTATTCCGCTACTAGCAATTCAATATTCTTATTAAGTATCATCAACAAATTCCTTGTCGTTTAAAGGTTAAAGGGAATGCCGCATTATACTAAAGCTAGCTTCTTGACATAAGCTACTATTCCATACGAACACAGATATACTTTTTGAGTATTATTCATTCCAAATGAAAATTTTTGTTTCAAAACAGATTTACCTGATAATTCATGAGTTATTTCGCATTGTTGTACACTATACATATTTTAACTAATTATTCAGAGTAATTCTAACAATAATAATAGTTTGTATATATCTTTTGTGACGTGACTGATTCATTTTGGGTCAAAATTGAATGTTACTTGTATATTTTAAATAAAATCATTATAAAGTTATGTGACTTTTTGAATGCGGTTTTGGTGAACCGTTTTTAATTTATTTTTGGTTTTGTCGAAAACCTAGGTTCCTTTTGTATTAAAACCGTATCTTTTTCTGCAATTAGTACAGGACGTGCATTTTTATCAAATTACTCCTTCGATTGGATTTTATGTTTTGTTACGAGTTCTTTAGCGAGTGCATGAGATCTTTGCAAACGATACTTTACTTCTTTTGCATAATTGTCAACGTTGTAAATTGGATCGATTTAAAATTTTTGTACTTCGTTTGGTAAAATAGCATTTTTACCAAAAATCAGTTCAAATGGAGTAACTTTATTATCAAAAAATGTGTTTGAGGTTGTGTTATGCAAAAAAGTAAAATATTTTAAATATGTATCCCAGTCGGAATATGATTCGTTTAAAAATGCTCGTAAGTACTCATTAAATACTTTATGATTTCGTTCTATTGTACCTACAGTTTCGTGATGGTGTGCTGTCGAAAAGTCATGTTTAATTTTTAAAAGTTTGGTTAATTCAGCAAAAAGTTCGTTTTTATATTCAGTACCTAAATCAGATTTTATAGAGTGCATAATGCCATATACTAAAATGAAACTTTCAAAAATTACTGATGCAACAGTTTTAGCACTTTTATCTGGTATTGGAACAGTAACTAAATATTTTGAGAGATCGCAAATAATGGTAACTGCGAACTTATTACCATATTTCGATTCTGGTAAAGGTCCTATTGTATCGATAACAACAATATCAAACGGTTTATTCGGCGTTGGGGTTAGTACAAGTTTTTCTTTAACTTTCGGTTTTACTTTATTTGAAAGACATTTTTGACAACTTTTAACATATTTTGCGACATCGCGGGTCATATTTTTCGAGTAATATTTTGTTATAAGTTTCGCATAAAGCTTTTTCATGCCACAGTGATCTCCTGATATTGGGCCGTCGTGATAAATGGTCATTAGTTTTTTTTTTGTCATTTTCAGTCACAGTCTCGACTGGATCTGTTAAAATGATTTGTAATGATTTTAAAATTGTGTTCCCGCGATTTTTTAAGCTAGCAATTGTGAAATCACGTAAAAATTCATCGTCTTTAGTCCATTCAATCTCCTTAATTCTGTGTTTGCTGGCTTCAATTTCAAGCCTCGAAAGTAAATGATCGAAATTCATTATTTCGTTAGCAAAGAGATAATTAAATAACTCGAGTTTTTTATGTTTAATATGTGCACAAATTCGTAAATTTTTAATTTTATCATTTTTATCATAAGTAATTTCTGATCTAATACGCGGTATCTTTTTTGAATAGTTGTAAGAAAATTTATCATAAACGTTTATTGTTTCCTGGTTTTCATTTTCGTTATTATCTGTATTTTGTGTAATTTCATTTTCTCGTCTAGTCATTGACCTTGTCTGTACTGCCAAAATGCTTTTCGTTAATTCCCTTATTTCGTCTATCGTTATACGCGAGAGTGCGTCTGCGCCAACATTTAATTTTCCTTTTATATACTCAATAGTAAAATTGTACTCTGCTAGTTCTAACCTTATTCTTGAAAGTTTTGAAGAGGGGTCTTTCATATTGAATAGGTATACCAATGGTCTGTGGTATGATTTTACTAAAAAATACGTTCCGTAAATGTATGGTCGAAATTGTGTAATGGCAAAGTAGATTGCTAAAAGTTCTAATTCAATTAATGGTTTTTTCTTTTCTGCATTGTTAAATGCATTTGAAGCAAAACATATTGGTAAATCGCAACTGTGCTGTTCTTGGCTAAGTATAGCGCCACACAATATTTTTGAAGCATTAACTGTAATAATAAATTGCTTTGTAAAGTCTGGAGCAGTTTCGGGTACATTAAGACTGTTCGCAGCGCTTGAAAAGCTTCATCGCATTTCTCATCCCAAACAAATTCTACTCTTTTCCTACTTAATTTGTTCAAAGGTGCTGCCAGAGTTGCAAAATTGGGGATAAATTTGCAAATGCGACAAAACGTCGTACCGCATCTTTGTCAGTAGGTTTAGTATACTTTTTAATTGCAACTATTTTTGAATCGTCTGGCAGCAGACCTTTTGCTGAGCATTTGTGCCCAAAAACGTTACTTCGGGCCTGAGAAAATCACATTTTTTTGGGTTTAATTTTAAGTTGAAACTTCGACAAGTTTCGAAAACTTTCGCTACATTTTTAATGTGATGTGCTTCGCTGCAGCCTATAACAATTATGTCATCTACATATAAAAACGCTACGTTGGGTGGAATACCAGAAAAAGCTATACTCATCATTCGCGAGAATGATTTGGGTGCTATACTTAAACCGAATGGTAATACTTTCCATCGATATGCTCCACGGTCTATGCTAAAAGAAGTTATATCACGTGAATCCTCATGTAAGGGGATTTGGTGGAATCCAGAAAAAAGATCTAAAGTGGAAAAATATTTGGCTCTGCCAAGATTGTCTAAAATATCGTCAACTCGTGCGAGAGGGAATTTATCCGCAATAAGTTTTTTATTTACTGTGCGGAAATCAACGCACATACGATATGCTTTTTGACCATTAGTAGATTTTTTAGGAACCAAAATTAGAGGACTATTGTAATTTGAATAACTTCCTTCAATTAAATCGTTATCTAGTAATTTGTTAACTTGGCGAGTTATCTCTTCACGTTGGGAATATGGTAGACGATAGTTTTTTACATATACCGGGTCAATGTCAGTCAACCTAAGTTTCTGTTCATAAAAATTGTTTAATGTCATTTTGTCATTGTCCAGAGCGAAAATGTCGGCATATTTTATGCAAAGGTCAAGTAAATTGCTGTTAGCTTCTGTAGGGATTTGGTTTTTCGAAATATTTGTTAATTCGTTCGTTCGGGGGTCTTCAGTCTTAATCTTATTAATTGAGTAAACGTAATAGTCAGAAAGTTTTCCGGTCCGAATATTTACATTCTTTACATGTTTTACGTCATCTGTGGTACTTATGATTTTAATAATTGGGTTACTACTATTAACTATGCATCTTGCTGTTAAAACGCCATATTCAACTTCTTGTGATTCTACAAAAAGTGGATCCGGCGAAAATTGAAAATTCGATAAACTTCGCATCTGGGTGGTATGATACAAGTGTCGCTTTCGGTTCCGTGTAGGATTGGTATCGCGACTTTTTCATTGCCGACCCAGAACGATATACAATTGCTTGCATATCTAATAACGCGTTTGTTACTTTTCAGAGAATCTTTACCCAGTATACCATCAGATGGTATGTTAAAATCGTCGTTTACTACATGTAAAGTATGTTTAATGTAAAAATCAGTAAAAGCCAAGTTTACGGTAATCGTACCTAAAGTAGAAACAGTATTAGAAGTGACACCGGTAATGTTAATTATATCGTTTATATTTATAGGAAAATGTTTATTAATGATAGAGTTTTTTATTAGAGAAATGTCGGCTTGCGTGTCGACTAAAAGCGTACAAAATTTGTTTGACCCATTAATTATCAATTCGATAAAGTCAGAGTAATTCAAATTTAAGCAATAAATGCCTTTTGTAGAAAAAGATTCATCTAATTGTCCAATTCTTTCGTCCTCAGTGTGAGCTCCTGAGGGGCGTGGGCGTTTAAAGCGCGCACATTAGCATTATTGCGTGAATTTGGACGTCTACTACTATTATTATTGCTGTTATTATTTCGATTATTGTTGTTTGATGAACGATTAATATTATTGTTGAAATTGTTACCGTTACACCTTGAACCGTAATTGTTGTACCCACTGTTATTACCGTTATTATTGTACCTATTGAAATTCGTATTGTTTTGTCTGAAATTATTATTGCTGTACCTATTAAAATTGTGACCTCTGAAGCTACCTCTAAAACTATTTGCCCTATTTACCCGGGATTGAAATGCTAACACTTGACGCTCTTTAACTTGATTATTTTGTTCGACTATCATTTTTGCCACTACGTCTTTTGAATTACTGAAGGTAGTTGACTATAAAATTGATTTGACCAAATTCGACCGAGTATTAAGTCTACAAACGTTAACTATTTGCTCGACTGCCATTTCATGGGCCTTGGATTGTGTCATACCTTCAATGATCAAAGAACGCTCTAATGCATCCGAAAGCTCCTCGACACGCTTAGCAAATTCCGTATAATTGTTATTTGTGACATGTAAAGATGCAATTTTCACAGCTACAACTTTCGAGTTGTCTAGCTTTATTCTGTTTCTCAACGCATCTTTAATTTGTCGGACTGAATTGACTTCTGTTGGAATTGCTCCACGTGCCTTGCCTTCGAGCTTGGATTTCAAAAATGATATAAAAGTTGTATTTAAATTTTCGTCTGCAAAATCTTCAATTAAATTAATTTTGTCGGTAAATGATTCAAGTGCTAACGGATCTCCGTTGTAATTTTCCCTAATAATTGAGGCACAAAGACTAATAAAGGATTTCTTCTGTTCAGGGGTAGCCATGTCTAAAAATTCTTTAAAAATGGTCGAAATATTTGGCGAACTGGTAGCTGTTGACGGCTCGTCGGATACAGTTAGCAGATCTTTAAATGATGGAAGTGAAGTACTTCTTTTAAGACTGAATTGTACCGAAGCGTCTGACTTGACGTCACTAAACTCTTCTTCTGACTCAGAGTCAGCTAAGTCTGATTGGCGAAGTAGCGATAAGCTATCCGGTGGAATCCTAACGCGACAATTCAGTTTAGTAAAGCACTTTGCTAACTGTTCCTTACAATGGGTTAACTTAACTTGAACTTCCTTGAGATTGCAGGTATGAGCCGAACTATTGCCAATAACTTGTATCAAAATATTATTGTAAGCTGTGATAAGCGAATATTTGTATTCGTTTAATTTTTTCGCATTCGTAGACAACGGTCTATTTTGTAAAATGCGCTTAGTAATCTTATCAAAATCTGCTTTATATGCTTTAAATTCTATAAAAAAGAAAAATTTGCCAAGATTGCATTATGAATATGTATAAAAAGAGATGTATTAATCACATCTTGAAATATTTATTTAAATAATTGAATAATGAAAATGAATTTGAAAAAGGGGTTGAATTCCTCACGTCACTTACAGCTAAATAATGAAAATGTAGTTAGAAAAAATGGGTTTAATACCGTAAATCGCTTAAATCTAAATAATGATGACGAAGTTAAAAAAATGGGTTTAATCCCCTGAATTTCGTATAGCTAAATAATGAAAAAATGAATTTGACAAATGGCTTTAATGCCTTGAATCACTTAAAGTTGAATATTGAATTTGAAAAAAATATGGCTTTAGTGCCTTGGTTCGCTTAAAGCTAAATAATGAAAATGGAATTTGAAAAATTGCTTCAATGCCTTGAATCACTTAAAGCTAGAAAATGGGAATAAAGTTGTAATATAGGTTTAATACCTCAAATCGCTTAAAACTAAATATTTAAAATGAATTCGAAAAGTGGCTTTAAAGCCTTGAATCATTAAAGCTAAGTGTTGAAAAATGAATTTGGAAAGAGGAAATTTAAGTAAAGTAATGTGCCACTGTATTACAGTATTAAAATATAACTGACTAAGTACATATGTATAGTGTATGAAATTAAACTTAAACGAACCACACGCTGCTTGGCTCCCTCGCTGCCGTCTCATTCATCGCCCTAGTCTGCTTCTTCCCTAAAACGTACGTTTGAAATTTTGGTGGTGTTGTCTTGTAGTTTGCTGAATTCGTGTGCTTTTGCAACGCACAACTGTNAAAAACGTACGTTTGAAATTTTGGTGGTGTTGTCTTGTAACTAGTTTGCTGAATTCGTGTGCTTTTGCAACGCACAACTGTATTTTAGGTGTCGTGACGTTCGTTAGCACATAGCGGTTTATAGCGGTGCTGTACCGCTTCTTTGTTTGGCGTCAGTCGCTGTAATACATATACGTAACGGTGTATGCTGCTGCTGCTGTTGTAGGTGGCAGCAGGGCTCCCCGTTATATCCCTTATGTATGGCGTTATGCGAGTTATTTCGTACTGCTGTCGTTGGTGCTGGCAGGGCTTCCCGTTATGTGCAAAAATGCACGGGACGAAAAGGCAGCGCGGATTTGTGCGCAGCGCTATACGGGTGACGTTGTACAGCACCCCGTTATTGCCTACCGCAATGAAACTCTGCTCGCCACCACTACCAACACTGTATTGCGCCCGAAGCCCATTAGACGCGCCTGCCGTCCAGGGTGTCAAAAAAAAAAATGTTGCCTCATGCGTCCTGTCACGGTCGCCATGTTCAGCCCGCTCATTTGGTTTTTCAAAATATAAACTTGTTAATTTGGCACTCGCTTACCCGTTCGTGCTGAACGCCGGTTCCGGTAGCTTTCCTGGTCACAATTCCTGCTTTACAATGGGTGTTCCTTCAGGGGCTGCTCCCACCCTGGGAAAAGTAGCGCTCAAGTTGCTCGGTACTCTGCTGGCCGACTAAATAAAAGTTTTGCCAATAACACGCGCGAAAACTACTAGCGAATGAATTAGAACCAAGGAATGAAACCGATTCAAAATAACGTTCCGGTTTGGGTTTCGGTTTTGCCAAGTGCTTCGGTGTTGGTTTCGTTCTTCAAAATTTATTTCGGTTTTGGTTTCGGTTTCGTTCCGGTTTCGGTTTTTCACAGAAATTTTGTTGATATTATTTAAATCACAATGTCTTAAACGTTGAGGAAAGAAAATCGAAAATTACAGTTCACTGATAATATCAACACTAGGTTCTTTCCCTAACAATCCGGACCGGATTTGGTAATTAGAGAATAAGAGAAACATTTTCTTTCAAAAATGGAACAAAGTTCAGAAGTACGGAAACGCAAAAACCCACATTTCGTGCCCACAAGTCGAGAAACAGCTGATTCACGTTGTTCTTGTTTTTGTCACTTATGCCATGTTCTGACCGACATCGGAAACATGTTTTCGTTGCTAAAACTGGTTTTCGACCTAAAACTTGTGTTTTCGTCCATATAAAATCTGTTAAACGAAAACCAGTTTTCGCTGAAAACTACTTGAAAACTCACTTTCCACTCATTCCAATCGGTGTCTTCACTAGTTTTTTTCGATTATTTATCGAAGTGGAAGTCATATTTTATCATCTTTAATACGCCATTTCGGATTTATTGTTAATTGCCTGGCCAAAGCAAAATAAGAATGAAAGTTAAAGGTTGTAAATGAAAGAGAAAAAGAAGGAAAAATGTTTTGGTTTCGGTCAGAACATGGTATTAAATGCAAACACTTGGAAATTGAATTTTGGTTTCACAAATTTGATTTTAAGTACATAGATTGAAAATACATCAACAGGCCATTCACTTTTCCTTAAAAGCACCAAGTAAATGCAGGCAACATGTAAACACAATACAGCTGATATGCACTTTGACACTTTATCCATTTTTACTCGGAGAAAATTTCGGGCTGTTTCGGGCAGGAAGAAGAATACACTTACGATCGAATACGCTCGAATTTTCGCTCTCTATTACCCATTTTGTTGAGTACAGGCATGATTTCTGGGCTATTTTGGGCACACGCGGGATCTCGCATTGCGTACGGGAAAGAAACTACTTAAATATAATTAATCGATTATCGATTCACAACAACAAAGTCATCAGCAGATTTTTGCGAAAAGTTACCTTGCCATACTTATTTACTACTTAACAAGAATTTTAGCAAAATCTTGCTGATTTTGGTTAAATAAATCATTTATTTCAAAGAAATTTTTATTTATTATTTTTGTAAATTTCTGGAAACCGATTGAAACCTGTGATTGAAATGGTTTCGGTATCGTTCCTTTTCAGGTCAAGATAACGGTTACGGTTTCGGTTTCGGTTTTGAAAAACGAAACGGTTTTAAACGGTTACGGTTTCGGTTTGGGTTTCGGTTTCATTCCTTGATTAAAACGTCTTCATTTTGTTGAAATTAACTTAGCTCGTTTTATTTAGTTTTAATATAAAATTTGGTACAACCGGCTTGAAAGAGTGCGTATATCCAATTGAATTGATGTTCGTTTTTTCACTCGGGTTTATCTACCTGTGGAACGTATGTTCCAAACAGGGCTACCAACATTACGGCGGCGCTGAATAGTGCTGCCGTATTGTTAGCGATGTCATTACAAGCCATATGAACAGTTGATATGCTAAAATAGAGGGACTACATGTTCAAATGAGGAATTCAATGGTATCGAGTGGGATGCATATAATACGTTTTTTCATATGAAAAATTATGGTGAGATACTGTAAACATACTGTTGTGATACTGTTAAGCATATGAATTTATAGCAAGTTGGATTTTCATACATCTTTCCATATACAGTTTTACAGATGCTGGGCTACCTATTGAGGGTTTTTGTGTTTTAGTGCTTTTTTAATATAAAAACCCACCGAAACAAAGGAAAGCGGCATCTCGACAGTTTCAACTATAAAATTATTTTGTAAGATTTGTTTAAAAAATTTTATATTTTCAAAACAAAAGTCTAATATTCATCAAATTTGAAAAATCAGCTTTTTTAGATGGATTCAACGGACAACTTTCAAATTAATGACAATGGTAAGCTAACATTTGATTTGAAGTAGAAGTGTACATATGTACATATTTTTACTAATAAAAATGCTACGTTAGGCTTATTCATAGAAGCTGTGCGTCAAGACCAAGTCTATGGGACCTACGGCTGAATTCCTACCGAAACCAAACCCTCAGAAGTAAAGCTTGGCAGAAAGTTCTTGAAGAACTGGGCAAGAATCAGTTATAGGGCTTTCGCACGAGGCGATTTTTCAGGCAACTTTTAGTTGAAAGCAAAAATCGCCTCGTCCGAACGGCCTTTCAACTAATCGCTTTCAACAAAGTTGGTCGCCAGCCAACTTTGAGCTCGTTCAACTTTTTTTCCT